TGCTGCTTTGGGGCCCTAGGGCAGACTTTCATCCGATGATCCATGCGAATGTATCAAATGGCAAAAGCAAGCAAGCATGCATTTATTCTCCAAAAGGATTCTGCACAGCCTGCTCGGATGGAAGCAGCCAGCTGTGGAGCAGGAAAGGTGAATCTGGGCCACCTTCACCAAGAGGAGCTGCCGTCTGTTACAGAGGAACCTTCGCACTTCCAAAAACAGTTCCGAGTCCCTGGATCTCCATTCGCAAATCATTAACGAATCTACCCTGGGCTTCAAGACAGGGAGGGGCCACCACTCTGCAGACAACCAGGTTGGACTGTCCTCCGCCGGTACACACGCTCCCCCTCCTCTTTACTCACAATAATCCCACCCAGCTCTCCGTCCCGGCCGCTGCCAGTCTCCTCCCCGGGTGTCCCTTCCCACTCACAGTGCTGGGCTCCTACCAGAACATACACCATTTTTGTTTGCGGCTTCAGGTTGACCACTACCTTAGATCATTTTCTCTTAGCATCCTCTACACGTGTTTAACTTTTAGATTATTGTTTCACATTTTGTTCTTCCCCCTTAACTACATCAAAACCTTGAAGGCTGGGTGGAGAGAGAGAGAAAGGACCACAATATTGTGGGAAAAAGTATGGGGTGGATACGGGCTGACCTGCATCTGTATAGTGGCTCCATCGCTTTCTAATTCTGTTGTCTTTGGAAGGCTACATAACCTCCCTGAGACTCGGTCTCCTCGACTGTCACGTGAGAATAATGTCCACACCAGGGTGGATTAAAATACTATATGTAAAGAGTCTAGGACATAGGAGATGGTCAATGAACAGGAGCGATATTGTTATTAAGGTGCTTTGCCTTCTACTTTTTTGAACCCTCCACAGAACCTTTCATGTGGTCGGGGCAGGGTTGATAAAAATCTACTAACGTAAGTGGATTAAAGATGAAAAGTTAAGTATATGAACTATATTTAAAAATATGTATCCCTAACTAACAACAAAAACATAGATAAAATGGGACTAAAGCTGCAACTAAAGAGCTGGCGAGACGCAACTAAGGAGCCTGCCTGCCGCAACTAACACCCAGCACGACCAAATAAAGAAATAAATAAGTAAATATTAAAAAAAACATAGATAAAGTGAGTACGGAAACATGTCATTAAGTATTAACCATAAATGATGAGTATTTGGGTGTTATTCTTTCCACACTTCTCCACACTTATTCAATATATTTTTGTGATAAAAAGTCAAAGAATAAAATAAAAAAAATATACATTCATATATATACACTTTAGGGAGAAGGAGGCTGATGCATTATTAATTTTGATTAAGCTTAGAAAGTACACAAATGCTTGACATAAATTTTCATGCCTTCTAGGCCTAAACTATTTAATAATAAATAAAAAAATAGTTAAAAACCATCGTCTATCACATTCATAAAGTTAATGATAAAAATGATGCAAACCAATATGAAAAAATATAGAATAAATATAATAAATCTGATTAAAACTAAAATGAAAATAAATACACCCTCAGATGTAACCTGTGTAAAACTTGATGCTACAAGGCGAGGCACACCACTTAATACAGGACCATCTTCTGGATTAGCCGCTAGGGGCTGCCAAAGAGTAGCGTTCCCGGGAACCAGGCAGCAAAAGATAAAAGTCTTTCAACTTGACCGTGAGAAGTGAGAGTCCCTGAGAATCACACTTATTAGTACAGCCCCCCCAGAGGTCTGGGACCACGGATTTCAGCAGAGCTGTCTGGCCTGTGGTGAGGACCATGCCTTGTTAGGGGGAACAGAGCTGCCTGGAACGAGCACAAGCGTGAGGTAGGTGTTGGCACCTAAATGTGGCATCTTAGCATCCCTGGACGCTGGGCTCAGGCTGTACCGCAGCTGACAACTTTCACAGCTGCCCTGCCAGGAGCTGTGAAACATGGGGCAGAAATGAAAGATCCCTATCCAGGCTCCGAGTTCCTTTTTCTAGTGACTTCCCATACTTAACAGCATCAGCACATTCTGGAAAAAATACACAGCAGCAGCAGCTGAATAGCTGGACTAGAAGATTATTTCTATTCTTAAAGTACACCCCAAGCCAAATCCTTTATATATATAAAATGAAATAAGAGGGGTTTGGTCTGTGTTTTAGCTTTACGTTCCTCACATATGTCTTATTCAACCCGCTGGAGAGTAAAATATTTGTCACATTTTCCTTGTCCTCAAAAAGAATGTTTTATTGAATATTTGTTCAAAGCACCTTTGCCCATTAATTCACTCCATTCTCACAATAACCTTGTAAAGAGTTATTATCAAACCTATTTGAAATTGAGGAAACTGAGAGTCAAAGATGACTCTCATCAGAGGTGATTCTGCAGCGGGAAGCCGAGGGGAGCAAGGATGTATTCCCGTTGGTGATGCTGTCACGGCTCAAAGAGGGGCCGCAACTCGCTCAAGGTCTCATGCAAGATGGGGGTGGAGGTGGGACCGGCTCCTTGCTGGCACGGCCGCTCTCTCCACCACGTCTGCTTTGTAGAAGAATGTGCTACAGCGTAGGAACGATACAGGTGTAGAGTCCCAGCAGGGTCTGCTAAGCAGAAGAGCAAAGAGATACTGCTTTTTCAGGCTGGCTACGGCGGTCACGCCCTGCACAGCTGGCATGCTGGGCTGTGACCATTGCCTCATATATAATAATAATAATAATAATAATGCATTGGCTTCCCCCAAGAGGGACACGGGTCATGAGAGCATCTCAGGATCATGAGCCCCTGTAGTAGGGGCTCCATCATCAGAATTCCCAGGTTGCCTGGTCTCCACTTCCCTGCGTGCTCCACTCTGGTCACACCCCCTGGTCTAGTCTGGTATTCCTGGCAAACTCTCAAATCAGTCATCTTAAACCATGTACAACACATGCCAGCCTGAGTGGAAGCCATTTATGTTCAACTGCAGACTTTAAAAATGTCCATTTTTTCTTCTGAGGTGTCTCTGGAGAAAGAGTTGAGATCAGAAGGACGGAAAAAAGAACACACTGTGTGGGAGGTGAAATGCCATGGTCATTGGGGAGGCCTGTCTGGAGCTGCTGGCTGTGATTTACTGCAGAGAAAATGAAATTCATGCCCACCATCCATCTTGCTGAAATGTCATGCCGAGTGCAGCTCCAGCCAGTAGGGGGGGGGTCTGATGGATATGGCTACAAATCACCTGCCCTTTAGGGTCTCTGCTTGAAGAGCCATGTGTATGCTGCAGTGAAATAAAACTTGTGGTCCATAGGCCAACAGGAATTTTCCTGGGGCCTAGAAATGCATCACTATAGGAAACCGACCCTTATTCAACACAGGAACTCTCTTCTCTGCCATGATGCCATAAATGGGGTCCAAAAGTTCCAACTTGAAAACACAGCGCATCTTACCAATGTGTTAATTCGATGTCTGCTGGCATATCTATCCACACGAAACCTTTATCAAGGATTTGTCATGAAGCTGGATGATGCATGGAAGGTGCAATCCCAGAGCGGGCAGAGTTACAAAGGAAATGTTATCACTGAACTGCAATGAACAACGTTGTTTTCCTCTTTTTATTCAAGACTTCACAGTCAGTGGAAAATACACATCCAGCCGAAGAACGGAAAACACGTCACTCTTTGTCTAATAAGAAAAATGCTCCAGATTTACCATGGCAAGTCTGGCCCCTTTGGCACCTCAGAAATGTGTCTGTAACTTTAATTCTTACAGGGGTGAGAACGCAGCAACTGCAGCTCTTTAAGGGTGACCCCAATGGTACTAGACCAGAAGGGAAGACATAAAATTCGAATTGGCCATTTACTGCTGGTATTAACATTTTGATCAGGGAAGAGGCAGAAACTATTGGTAAAACTGAAACCTGTTTGTCTTGTCTTTCATCACAACAATAACTTGGTAATTAGCTCTTTGGGCCCAAAGCTTTAAGCAAAAAAGGAAACAACAACAGAACAGGCCAGCTCAGGCTTCTACACTGTAGGGCAAGAGAGGCTGCAGGCTATCGTCAAAGGTCAGAGAACCCTCCACACTTCACGGTACAGATAATGAAGAAAACCAGCGAACATGGTGCGGGTTAATATTCTTTTGATTTTCTTCTTCAAATTAGTTAGAAATTTAGTTAGTTCACTTTCTTAGTTGGGGGCCATTTATATAGCATTTTTACTTTCATTTACAGATACCGGAAGGTCCATATGTGAAACTAATGCCTTATGGGTTACTGATGTGCTAACTCATAATGTTTAAACCTCAAAGGTAAATGTTCAAGTTCTCCCCCAAACAGGGCTTGGCCACCTCAGCGTGGAGCACGAACGCACAGTCAGACAGACCCGCGCTCCCACCACCGCCCTTTCACATTCAGAGGCAGGAAAGCCAAACTACACCATGGCTGGTAACAGACTCGGAGTCCGGATAGCCCAGGAGCCTCTGGACACTCAGGCTGAGGAAACCAAGCCTCTCTGCATTGTCAGAAGAACCGAGGGGGCAGGGAGGACGCCCCTACCCCATGCTGTCCCACGCGCATTGTGAGCATGGCCCCGAGGAGAGGCCCCAGCCCGGCACCTTCCAGATCCCCTCAACAGCCAAAGTGGCACCGCTCTGTGGCCCTGGCTCCCTCTGCACTGAAAGGTGTAGACATTTCAGACCCTGGCCGTCTCGGGTCTAAAATGCAAACAATCACATGCTCCATTCTTTTCCAAGACCTCACCTTCAAAACGTTCATTTATACCCTTTCCCTTCTTTTTTACACAATTTTCCCTTCTGCAGTCCAGATTATGGATCCTTCCTCCCAGACTAATGTCTTCCATGCTCAAGTCTAAACTGGGCACCCAAAACATTATGCGGTGCTGGCGGAGATGCTGTATGACCTGAAAATCAGACTGGTCTCTAACCGCAAACTCGAACTGAAACACACACACACACACAACAACCATCACCACCGCCATCCTCCCCGCAAACCGAAAGCCCTTCAACATTCACCAGATGTGGACTCACCTTCCTGAAGAAAAGCTGAGTGGACACAGCGAGCGCCTCAAAGCCCCGGACGGCCTTCCTCAGCTCCCCCTGCACGAGGCCCAGCTGCCGCGCCTGCTGTTCGTACCGCTCCTTCAGCCGCTGCACCAGCTGCCGCTCAGCCTCTCGGGCCTGCGGGTCCGGCTTGGGGGAGGCCCCGTTGCGGGGGGCCGTGGGCCTCTGCTTGGGGTATCCTAGAAAGAAAAACAGTCACCTGTGAGAAAACATTCAGCCCGAATGTGACAACCGCTCCTTATGACAGAAGGATTCCATCAAGTAGCTGAGAAGGAATTGCCCATCATTTGTCATTTTAGGTGTTACAAATTAAAAACAGGGACTTTAAATATGGCTCTGTTGATGTGGTCTGAAGTACAAGGTTTCAGGCTTGGAAAAAAGAGTAACAGACAAAATGGCCCAATTCCTTCTAGCTGCCTGCATTTCTTCTAGGTCTGCTTAGAGAGATTGGAGCAGTTGTGTTTTTGGTTTTGGTTTTTGTTTTCTTCAAGGGGATTCCTCTTTGAAAATGTCTAATGAGAAATCAATCAGTCAATCCAGGTCGAAGCGAGTTAACACCTAGCAACTCTTTCACTGGGCATCAGGGAGTAATGCCTACACGCCCTCCCCTCCCTTCAACCCTTTCTTTAATGTCAGGTTCAAGTCACGTGTCTGATGACCTCTGCTGCAGGGATTTCTGGCTTTAAATTCCTACAGCACCCATGCCCTGCATGTGAGCATTCACCCCACCTCCACGGCTGAAGGTCCAGTCCCAGCCACCATAACCTCTCACCTTCTAACGGGAGCCCTGCTTTTTCTCATCTTTCACTGCCCAGCTGCCAGAATGATCTCTATAAACAGAAAAGAGCCCACGGCCCGCGTGGACCCCTCCCTCCACTCCTTACGCTCCGCTGCAGTAAGAAGAAAGTGCTCATTCCTTACATGGCCCACAAAGCCTCTGAGATCTGGTTCCTGCCGGGCAAATGTTAGGGGTGTGTGTTGAGGAGGGTGCACAGAGGATAGAACCAGAAATTCTGCCTGGGGCTGGGGAGGCTTTAAGATTATTAGGCTGAAGCATTAAGGCGTAAAGGCCCAGCAAAGAGCTCAGAGACAAGCACTGCATCACGGTCCCAGACCCTCGGGTCAGCAAGAGTCTTCCTCGGATTGGCTGTACTTCTAGCCTGAGGCTCAGACAGACCTGACACCCCCAGAGAGCCCCTGCGGTGGCCAGTGGACTTACGTTCCCAAGAATACTCTTTCCTTGGCTCCAACAGATCACGTCCTAGAGGACATGACAGGGACACTGACCACACAAACATGAATAAACTTTAATGTTTCCACCGTTCTTTCATCTCCCCGCTCTGCCTCCAAAATATCAGGGAGTAACATATAGAACAAATCAGAAAGCAGTGGTCTCTTCAGTGCCTGATACCTTGAGTTGCAGCAGAGTCATGGGCCTGAGAACACACAATGGCCTGATCTTTTAAGGGGAAAAGATTGTTAATTGATCTAAATACTTCTGATTGTTAATTTAATGGTAACCATGCTAATTTTAATCAAATCTTCCTCCTTTTAAGAAATCATCAGAGGGCTTCCCTGGTGGCACAGTGGTTAGGAGTCCGCCTGCCAATGCAGGGGACATGGGTTCGAGTCCTAGTCCGGGAAGATCCCACATGCTGTGGAGCAGCTAAGCCCGTGCGCCACAACTACTGGGCCTGTGCTCTAGAGCCCATGAGCCACAACTACTGAAGCCTGCATGCTGCAGCTACTGAAGCCCATACGCCTAGAGCCCGTGCTCCGCAACAAGAGAAGCCACCGCAATGAGAAGCCCGCGCACCGTAACGAAGAGTAGCCCTGCTCACCGCAACTAGAGAACGCTCGCGTGCAGCAACGAGGACCCAATGCAGACAAAAATTAATTAATTAATTAATTAATTATAAAAAAGAGGAAATCATCAGAGACTGGAATGCGACCTCACATATGACATATCTTCAACTAGTATGGCTTAATGGACTAGCAGAATGTGAAATTATTGCTTCTTTAAAACTGTCTTTACGGCATAAGAGTATATAACATTCCAGAAGGCAAGTCAACCTTAATATATACTTAATCCCAACATTCTCAATACTGAAAACAAAAGAAAAATAACTGACAAAACGTAAGAAATTTTACTGCCTGCATTAAATTCTAAGACACAGTCTAAGACCCAAGGCAGACTTTCTTCAGGATTACCGTTTGCCATTTTATTGCTGCGGCTGGTGATTTTATAAAACACTCCAGTGTTTTTTAATGTGTTGAGGTACCGGGTGCCTGACACCATTACAATAGAAGGCACTTCTTTTAGAAATCTAAAGAAATAATAAAACATACTTCCAGCTCAGTCAATTAAAGCTAACTGCAATCTATATAGCATGTAGAGTTACCTCTGAACTTGTGGATATTAGTAAATGTTCATGTTGTCCTGTGTTTTTGGCTGTCAGATTTATCCTGTTATTATTATTATTACCACCATCATCATTATTTTTAGGTTAGCAATTATACTGTAAATAGTCGATATGAAAGGATTTGGTGAAAATCTATTCTTGGTGTTTACTTTGATATTGGTGTTGTTATTAAACTGGTTTTATTCACACACTCAATATTCGAGGGTTCTACTGAACACTGGTATACTCAGTCCACATTTCTACTCCTGGGGCCACCAAACCGATGTTCTGAGCCAGGACATTGGCTCCCCTGTGAACATCAGCTTTTGGTATGAACATATGAAGCCAATGTTTAGCTGTACTGTGACACCACACCACCTGATGAAGCCAGTCCTTGCGTGCGACTCCAGGTTGGCTGCACTTCACAGCACAGACCGACACTCAGGCCTCAGTGCTAAAACTACTGGAAGGAAACATGGAGAAACAAGGTTGCATGTGAAGTTCTCTATCGCTTTTAGTTGAAAAGGGATATGGTGAGGGGGAAGGGTAAGCTGTGACAAAGCGAGAGAGTGGCATGGATATATATACACTACCAAACGTAAAATAGATAGCTAGTGGGAAGCAGCCGCATGGCACAGGGAGATCAGCTCGGTGCTTTGTGACCACCTAGAGGGGTGGGATAGGGAGGGTGGGAGGGAGACGCAAGAGGGAGGAGATATGGGGATACATGTATATGTAGAGCTGATTCACTTTGTTATAAAGCAGAAACTAACACACCACTGTAAAGCAATTATACACCAATAAAGATGTAACAAAAAAAAAAAGAAAGAAAAAAGAGTACTGCCATCTTTTAAAATATTGGTTGGCCAAAAAGTTCATTTGGATTTTTCTGTAAGATGTTACAGAAAAACCCAAATGAACTTTTTGGCCAACCCAATATATCAAATATAACTTTGCCTATGACTAATAAACATTTGACTGTCATCAGCACAGCTCTGATCCTCACTAAAAACAGCATTCTTTTCTTGCGCTGTGGATTTTGTCTAATGTGGCTACAGTTACTCCCTGAAGCTTCGTTCTGTCACTCACTTTCCTGTCCACCCATATGTCAGACCATCCCCAGGACGGTATGGAAGGATGGCCTCACAGCCTCACCCACCATCCTGGGGACAGAGAGCTTATGTTGAAAGAAGATGCATGACACACAGCCAGCTTCACCTGGTTCATTAAAAATTAAAAAGGATTTTGCTTCCTTCTGCTGTCTTTTCTTAAAAGCCAGCACATGATGAAGTTTAAATACAAACCTGCTTAGGAAGTAAAGGGTAAATGGGAACACGGGACAGAAAAGTTCTGAGCCAGTGATCACAGGCAACTCATGGAGCACATGGTAGGCACCGGAATGACTGTGATGATGGTGACCCATTTCTGACCTCTTACACCCAAACTTCTCTGGAAAAGCCACCATACACGCTTCAAATGAGGGCCATGCCACATCCCCTGAGGACATTTCCATGCGCTGGAAGATTTTATTACCTCCTTCCCTGTTCTTTGTGGTATTTATATTGCTTCTGGGGAGGTCAAAGTTTCAAAGCAGGCAGACATGCCACTGACCTCTGTCTGCAGCCAGGCAGAGTCAAGTTACGTGTGTTTAGTCTCTTTCCAAAAAAAAAATCAAAACTCTGGCCGCCTAGAATATTCTGATTTCCATCCAGTTAAACTAGGAAACTGAGATAGCCTCATCCACCAGAGGGCAGACAGCAGAAGCAAGAAGAACTACAATCCTGCAGCCTGTGGAAAAAAAACCACATTCACAGAAAGACAGACAAGATGAAAAGGCAGAGGGCTATGGACCAGATGAAGGAACAAGATAAAACCCCAGAAAAACAACTAAATGAAGTGGAGATAGGCAACCTTCCAGAAAAAGAATTCAGAAAAATGATAGTGAAGATGATCCAGGACCTCGGAAAAAGAAGGGAGGCAAAGATTGAGAAGATGCAAGAAAAGTTTAACAAACACCTAGAAGAATTAAAGCGCAAACAAACAGAGATGAACAATACAATAAATGAAATGAAAACTACACTAGGAGGAAGCAATAGCAGAATAACTGAGGCAGAAGAACGGATAAGTGACTTGGAAGACAGAATGGTGGAATTCACTGCTGCAGAACAGAATAAAGGAAAAAAAAAAGAAAAGAAATGAAGACAGCCTAAGAGACCTCTGGGACAACATTAAACACACCAGCATTCGCATTATAGGGGTCCCAGAAGGAGAAGAGAGAGAGAAAGGACCGGAGAAAATATTTAAAGAGATTATAGTCGAAAACTTCCCTAACACAGGAAAGGAAATAGCCACCTAAGGCCAGAAGCGCAGAGAGTCCCAGGCAGGAAAAACCCAAGCAGAAACACACTGAGACACACAGTAATCAAACTGACAAAAGTTAAAGACAAAGAAAAATTATTAAAAGCAACAAGGGGAAAACGAAAAATAATATACAAGGGAACTCCCATACGGTTAACAGCTGATTTCTCAGCAGAAACTCTGTAAGACAGAAGGGAGGGGCACGATATATTTAAAGTGCTGAAAGGCAAGAACCTACAACCAAGATTACTCTTCCTGGCAAGGATCTCATTCAGATTCAACAGAGAAATCAAAAGCTTTACAGACAAGCAAAAGCTAAGAGAGTTCAGCACCACCAAACCAGCTCTACAACAAATGCTAAAGGAACTTCTCTAAGTGGGAAACACAAGACAAGAAAAGGACCTACAAAAACAAACACA